AGAGTGCTTGGTGACGAGCATCCAGACACGCTAAACAGCATGCATAATCTAGCGGCGATATATGCGAACCAAGGGCGATAGAAACATGCTCTCAGTTGCGCGAGCAAGCTCTTAGCGACTAACATCCTGATATACATCCGTCGCCTGACACGCTGAGAAACTGGCAAGCTGGGTTTGAACAAACTGGTAAGCAAGACAACTTCATGATGTTTGTATCGTCTGAAGAGCCTGATGTTGAATGTCACAGACTATACAATCAAGTGCGACTTTCAACGTTATGCTGTAGCGCAGCAATAGCTTTTATTACTTACACTAGCTTCGATTCACCCTATACAGCGGATTTACAGGAAACAATAATAGATGTATTTATGTAACGTCTGTCTTTGCGTACCGGGACAGACGTTAAGAAGCAAGCCTAGAGGGTGGCTGTTTGCTACGCGCGCGTGTACCTCTGCAAGAACAGCTGTCTGGGATCTGGGAATAAGAGCCGTCCGAGGCGACGAGGTTCGTTCACGGTTCTTAGCCAGAGTGCAGCGCGCAGATACCTCAGCACGCTACTGCAAGCTACTATACGCCAAGGGATGCTAATAGCGCACTTCCCGTTAGACGCGTTCTAACGATTCTGCCGTCTGCGCGGAGAAATTGCCGGGATATACCCTCGTCGATCTGAATCGACCTTTCGAGACTGCTGGCGTCATATTTACTATCTTAGCTTCCTTTATAGCCTACCAAGCTTTTTGCAGATATATGCTATCACGAACAAACAAGGGAGTGTTAGAGGAGAGTTGGGCGCAGCGTTGACAGAATGAGCGGCAGCACGATTGACAACGCGCTTCTTGGTATCGGAGGCTTATGTGCTATGAGAACGAGTGCTATAGAATAGATGCGCGTTGCTCCTGTTTGTATTCGAGAACACTAGGGATGATTCGAGTGTCCGGAATAGAAAGCGTCCCGTTACACCGTGCATCCCGGCACGCTCGGATCGACATTAATAACGTGCATCCCTCCGTGACGGGACTCCCTGTGTGCCGGGACCAGCCAATCAGCTCGCTTAAATCACTGACTTCTGCCTAAAACTTGCGAGCTGATTGGCCGGTCCCGGCACACAGGGAGTCCCGCCACGGAGGGATGGACGTTATTAATGCCGTGGTGTCTATCTCTAGCCGATTTCTAAGGACAGGCAGCAGGTGACCATGCACGTAAATAGTGGTTAGACGAAGCCTCTGGAGCTTTGCGCCACAGCTTAAGCCATTTTGGCATAGCGTAGTTNAGTGCCGTGGTGTCTATCTCTAGCCGACTTCTAAGGACAGGCAGCAGGTGACCATGCACGTAAATAGTGGTTAGACGAAGCCTCTGGAGCTTTGCGCCACAGCTTAAGCCGTTTTGGCATAGCGTAGATGTATATTGCAAACCGCTAAGTTTTTAATACTGGCTATGTCAGCACGCTAAGTCTTTTCGCTCAGTCTGATGAAGTGGCACGTCGCACCGGAGCAACTCGGAGAGCACTCAGATCAGGGCTGCACACGTTTCTAAGAGCGGGACTGTATTATACCGCTATTTAAGTATCCTATAATGGCTCCGAAGGATTAAGCGATAGTGTTACTTAAGAGAGAGCAGGGGTGTTTTGACATTACACCTTCTATGCTAAAGACAAGAAGCTTAAGAACACAAGCTATAATACTGTAATTTTACTATATAGAGCTTGCGCTAGGTAGAGATAGAGGTAAATAATACAACCTTATTAACTTGACCCTATACGATTGTGCAAGGTGGGTATAACATGGTTGAACAACATTCGTGGTTCGTTGCGGGGGGATGTTCGACCCGCAGGGACAGACGTTAGAGCTAAATACAAGCCTTCTTCATACTACGTGTAACCCACTGTGGGCTATCTCTAGAGCGCTTCTGTGGAATAGCAGGGAGTTGTTTTTCCTTCACGGTATGATCGACAGTTCCAAATGGGCTGTTGAGTTGTTGAGCCTCGATAAGTTTCTGAACTGTAGTAGGAAACCCACTTAGGCACAAAGTCTTTGACGTTATACCACGGATCGATATTGTTATTGTCTCCTCTAGAGTTTCCACCCGGAAACTGACATAGCGCTTAAAAGGTGGTAGGCTTTTTGGTATGTACCCGTTCTGAATACAACTCATTGGACTACCTTGGATCAAGAACCATGACTTGGTATCAAGTAAGCGATTGTACAAATAGCGGAGACCATCTGACGGGATATCTATTCGGCAGAATATAAATCCATTGCAGTTGTAACCGGCGTCCCCAAGTGTCGGCAGATCATCCAACTCGAAGTAAAACATGGACGCTATCATAGAGTCGAAAATGCTGGATATCAGTGGTCTCTCTTCAACGATAGTTTGCTCTACCTTAGTTTTCAGTTCTGGTATTACAACCGTATCGTCAAGACTAGGTTCAGGGCCAGCAAGTCTAATATTGAGACGATGAAAGCGTTGCCGTACGCATGGTGACACTGAATTTAAAAATCGCTTCCATGCGTCTTCTCCGTCAAGGTTACGCATAAAACTTTTAAACAACCGTATGTAAAAGCGCGATATCGTTGGAGACTTGCTAACTGCAGCAGGTAATGAGGTCCCTGTTCCTAAAGAAAGCGCAAAGTCTGGTTGTGGTTTATTTGGCCATAAAAATTGCATTTCCCATTGTGCAATGCTTGCTGGATTATTATGTTGCAGTCCGCCGTCCTGAAAAGCTCCCAGTGACTGTACGACTTGGGGTTTGAAGAACCTGGTACGGTAAGCAAAGCAATAGGACTAAGCACCAGAGCTGCTTTATTTACCACGGCGCTGCAGAGGTACAGCATGCACTAGAAGGGTTAGTCAATCGTAATAAGAAACTAACGAACATACTTACGCATCGCTCACAGTAATATCACTCTCAGCTCTATAAGCTCGGATAACATCATATCCTATCCAAGTTAATAACGGTTTTATCGCGTACTTGTACGACAAACCTATATTATTAGATCTCTTTCCACCATTATAATTTGTGAATAGCCAAGGCAAGGAGTCTTTGACTGTTGTTGTTGTGACAGCAACCTTGGTATCGTTCCTTAGTGGATTGAACATCTGGAGCGGCGAGTTGAGAGCTTTCCTAAAAGCATCCTGAATCGCTGCTGAACTATATTGACCATCTTGAATATAGCCCATAAATAACTGGAGGGCTCTCGTAACTAGTGCTTTCCGCCTCCCAAACGTCTTACTTGCCACGTCTTCAAATTTTTCTAACGATTCAGATGCGCTCCATTGTAGCAAGAACATGCCAATTACTACAAGTCCACCTATGTAAGTAAGTAAGTAAAAATTATTAGTTAAAGCGTAATGTATGCCGTTACCTGCTGATGTGCCGCAAACAAAATCGAAATGGTCTTTTACTGAACAACAAAATGGGGCGAGTAGCGAATCAAGGTGCTTAAGAAAAGCTAGCGGAATAACGCCTCTTACACCCCCGCCATCTACACTAAGGATTCGTATTCCTGCAGTAGGAGGTATAAAGCGGAATATTGAGTTGCGGTAGTTAACCCCGCATAGGATGCACTCGGGAATCTCGTAGGTATTTTTGTCGATATGCGAGCGTACCCCTAAAGCCCTAATACAAGGATCGCAGAGAGCATGTCCGCAAGGTAAGACTTTTTCAGGCATCCGCATAAAACAACTAAAGCAGGATCGATGGCTTTTGAATTCAGCTAAATGAGCATGATGAAGTGTAAGAGTTTTCCGATGGTATTCTCGAGAGGTTAGGCCATTAACTGCATAGTCAGCGAACATGGCACAGAACTCGTTAAGTATTGCAGTCAAAAACTTCGTCTGGATACCCGGGAAGAGAGTATATGAAGATATTGCGGCACGGCAGGGTGCAGAGTAGATCTTATTGAAAAGGCATTCTGGCGTAAAGCCTACTCCTGTTAGCGATCGAAAGATATGGGGAATGAGTTGCTTACTATGTGCACCGGGAGGGTAGCTAGCGAGCAGCAGAGCGGATGCTATCAGAGGTGCTGCAAAATGCCACAGCCAAGCTTGAGAGGGCATTTGATTTAGAAAATCCTCTATACAAGGTTGCAGGAGATCACACGAAAATCCAATGGGCCTAGTCGCGTCGACAAGGCTGAACGGCGTTGGGGATTCACTGCAAAGCCAGCGCAAAATTCCCAGGGATATGTTATGAAAGTGTGAGAAGCTAAATTGCAGATGAGAGCTGGCTCGTTCGCTCATCGCAGTTTGAGATAGTGCTATTAAACGTCGCTTTAACGCTTGTGCACGAACAGCAGTGGGCTTCGAAGACTGTAACCCTAGGGCATTGATCTCGCCTAGACGCTGCTTCGTGTCATGTTGCGCATTCGAATAGTCTTTTTTGCCTTCTAGAGCGGCAATCACAAGGTTTGTAGCTTTGTTGGCAGCTATGATCTCATCGAATGATTCAGAAGATGTTTCGATGACTAACAAGATGCGGGGTACTATGCGCGAGTCGGATGCCGGCATCGCAACTAGCTGCTCAGCAAGCCAGTCGGCGACAGCTCTAATGCCGCCAAGATCATCAACAAAGCAGCAGATCACACTCGAAAACAGCGAGAAGATGTTCCCACATAAAGTGGCGCCGATGTTGTTGGTATTGGAAATTGTTAAGACTGTCCCATCTCTTGTCTGACGGACGGGGGTCGGATCCGGTATAGTCGTGTTTTGGACGTTACAGTCGATGACAACGATGGGTGTACTGCCGCTTCGCAGGCGTGGCGAACACCAAAGATATACTTGCCTATGAACAGGTACATCTACAATGCTCCCTAGTATCTGATCTAGAAGTATTGCCTTGGATCTTTTCCCCAAAAAGGTGATGTAAGATGGTTTAGCGTTATCCCTAACGTTCTTGGTAACATGCTGAGGCGGCTTGTGATACGTCAATACATTCCCTCTATGGGAGGAATCATAGGTGATCCATGGAATGGTATCCATTTTCTGCTTTGGAAAACTCAGCGCATAGAGTTAGTTTTATATCAAGATCTTCCAGATACCGTTTTCGGTTGTCGGATCTTGGGCGCGTCCCGTAATCGGATAACGGTTAGCCGATTTTTGAGTCCAGGGAGCCGCCGCGAGAAACAAAAACGAAAATTTACTACATTGTTAGCTACAACGGCTCCCTAGCATACTGCGTTCACTATGGAAGTTTCTCAAGACATCACCCTAGCTAAGCACAAAGCAAATTGCTTTCGAGGTCTCATACGCGCACGTCTTGACTGTCTACAATTTAATCACCAGCTCTTTTTGAACAAACATCGTGAAGAATCTCCTCAAAATGTTCGTAGGCTCCAGAAGATCTTTGAAAAGACTGGATGCTTGAGGCTACAAGAAGAGAATATCATTGATGCCGTCGTCGAGGATGACCGTCTCAACGCAGCGCTACATGCTATTGGTCTTTCTAATGAAGCCCTCCAGAAGATACGCTCACCTGAAGATGCTCCAAGTTTGTACCTCGGAGAACTAAGGTGTCTTAATGGACTGCATCGGATAAGAGCAGCGGATCAATACCTGAACGAGAACGACAAGTGGTGGGTCGTGAGACTATTCTCGAGTGGTCAGTACATTAGTCTTCCCTGCGCGCATCTAGTAACACTACGATAGAAACCCCGACTCCTGTTCTCAGTCATATTATTGAGTCATATACAAACGAACAAAAGCCGTCAGATGGCGAAATCTTCCGCAGGATACGATTGTATCACCGAGAAAATAAAGTCGAAGCAGAAAGAAAATGGTGGGCAAGACTTCACAACTCAAAACCTAAGGATCTTCGCCAGCTATTTAAAAGAAGGGAACTCATATCTGGATTCGACAAACTCCTCGAAATGCCAGGCCTTTGGTCGAAGGTACAACTTGGTGCTTTGCATAGACTTCTGACCTTGAAGTGCGACGAGGTATGTTTATTTCGAGATGCCACAATCTCTCTAACTGATATAGGAGATGTCTCATTATCTTAGTCGCATACTCCAGGTTTGGACAAAGATTTTGACTTGCAGAAACACTACTCTGCCATTCTCTGCGGTTGATGCGGTCACTGTAGAAAGTCTTGAGTTATTGGCACCTAAGCATTCTACCATTGATAAGGCATTTGTTCTGAGTCTGTTCGAGCGAAACATAGTATTCCCTTCTCAATTAGACAGTCAGATCCGTCGGGATTTAGCGGAGAACATATGCGCTTCTGAAGGTCTGATACCATCACTTTGGACATTTTTCGAGACGCTCAAATACATCGAACCTATATGTGAGACTCTAAAGAAGCTAATCGGCAATAATATGAAGCGTACTATACGTTCAAGTTTGATGGGATGCTACTTTCCTCCGGACAAGAGAAACATCCAAGTTGCTAAGTTTAGAGAGGCAGAGATTACATCGATAATAAATCAAGAGGAGGCGGCCTGGATCTCATACGTCGAACTGTGGGCCTTCTGTGGTCGCTATTTCAATAAACTCACTTCCTTCACGCCAAGAAAAGAGAGCGGTGAAGCGAAGCCGACAGTAGAAGGACCGAACCCAGTGCTCTGGCAACATCTAGCAAGCTTCTCCGTTTCACGTGGCTTCAAGACGAAACGGGCTCAGGAATTGGCGAACACCGACCCTCATACTGAGCTCGCTTACGAATATCTTCGTAAATCTAGTCCATTGTCTGCATCATCTTATGAACGACAAATTCATGAGATCGTAAGTGCCAGTCGAACTGTAGACGATGACACACATGAGCTACCGACCATAGTATCTGGTCACATAGAAAAAGAAAGACGGAGTGGCCGCCCTTTTGAAAATCACTTACGCATAGATGAGCAGAACTTATATCTCCCAAACGTTTATAACAACGTGGAACCTATAGAGGCTAATTGGGCGTTGATGCGACGTGACGTGTTCAACTCTCTTTTTGGGAACCTTGTCATACAGGTATGCATGATAGCCTGCATTACATATTGCATATACCTAACATTCACTAGCATAGTGATATTCTGCACCCTATATTTGTACATAGTTCCACTTTTGATACCGATCCGATGGATCTCGTATTAGAAGACCAGCATACTTCTAACGAGATACAAGGCTTGAAGACGCAGATAGAAGCCCTTCATCGGGATTATAACAGTCTCCTATCTCAACACGAAAACTTACAAACGCGCAATGAGGAGCTCGAATCCGAAAAACTGAATTTTCGACAAAGATGCCAATCTTTGCAAGACCAAGCAGACCAAGATGGAAATTCCATATCCTCCCTCGGTTCTAATATCCAAGATCTTCAAAGACGCAATAAGGAGCTTGAAGCTGAAAAACTAGACTATCAGCAAAGATGTCAATCCCTAGAAGACCAGAGAAACGGAGACAGAGACGCCATCTCCTCCCTGCAGTTGAAACAACAGGAAATAGAGCGCCTCCGCCTTGAGAACGACATGCTCAAGACGAATCTTGAAACACTTAAAACTTCAGCTCAGCAAGCAGATCAGACGACAAAGAATTCTCAGGCACTTGTACTAAAACTCCAGAAAGATAAGGAAAAGCTGGAAGCTAAGCAAGCTACATCACAAAACGACCTAAGAATGCTCAGAAACGATCGATTTAGGCTCCTCGAGGAAAATCAAGACCGCATGAAAGATATACAGGCTATGAATAGCGAACGAGATGCTCTGCTACTTCAGCATAGCCAAGAGTTTGCTCAAACGATACCTACAGGGCCCGAATATGAGGACCCTAAAGGCACCTTCATGAATGAATTGGAAGAACGCGAATTCCACACTCCGTGGAGACCATATTCTGGAAACAAGTATGAGATATTCCTCGCTGAGTCGAATGATGATACTGGCTTGCCTAAAGGCACGAGTATTGAAGTGGATAAAGATGAGTTAGATGCTATTTCAATCATCACAGCTATTCTAGGAGGTGCTAAGGAGTACTTTGGTCAAGAGTTAAGGGCCATGAATATTCAAGGAAAGTATCTCGCTAATATCAGTCCCACATCTATATTTGCAGCTTGCACTATGTATAGGACTATCTTGGTCAGCAAAACTGCTGTGCTAGAAAACTATATCTCCACGGGCGCTTGTCAAAACGTTATCGCAACACTTAGTGATGGAAGTTTAAGACTTGTACAGGGCGCACAGAGACGGATGATTGAAGAAGCAGAGGGAACAAAGAAAAGAAGACTAGAGAACGAGTCGGGTGGCACTGATATTGTTCTTGCAAGTCGAAGGATCCATAGCAGAGGCGGAGTAAAAGGATCAGTTGTACCCAATGTTGATGACGAGCTAGATAATACTGAAGATACATAGCAATACTTATGAAAAACAGTCTTTCACATGTTATGTTTGTCTGAGGAAGCATTATAAGGCTAACCATTTGGGATTTGAACAACGAAGTAACGTCTATCCCTCCGTGACGGGACTCCCTGTGTGCCGGGACCGGCCAATCAGAACGCTTGAATCACAGACTTCCACCTAAAATCTACAATCTGATTGGCCGGTCCCGGCACACAGGGAGTCCCGTCACGGAGGGATGGACGTTATACTAGGAATGGTATTGTAGAGTGTATTGTTGTATCCTCACACACTGCCATCGTTACTTTCTAGTCGCCGTCTCTTCGATGGAAGTACGATAGCCGATCGCGGTGGGAGGGGGCTCAAGTTCCGACTAGGACTAGCTTGTGGTGTAGGAAATTCTCCAAGGCTCCATATACCTAGTTCATCTGAGTCATCTTCGCCACCCTTTCCCTCTGATGGGTGAGTTGGCTCTGGGGTCGGTGGTTGCCGTGGTGGGAAGGTAGAGGAAGATGGCTTGACTACCTTTACCCTTCCTCTCGAAAGGCCCTCATTCAGAAATACAAAATGAGATGGCCGTTTTACAATCGGCGTCTGAGCATCTACCTATAGCGGTTTTGTTAGTGACATCTAACAAGGAAAGAATAGAACGCACGTATTGTTCCATCAGAATCGGCCACTGAAAACCCTGCTCCTCAGAGGAGAATACGAAGGGCCGCTGGCCGGGTTTCTCGATGATAATAGCTATGCGGATGCTGCTATCGATAGAATGGAGCTGTGCGGCTTTGCGACATATGCCAATACTTCGGTCTTTGAACGTTCGCGTGAGGTTTTGTGGAGTGGGTTTTACCATGGTACTGATTGTAGTAGTAACTGATTACAGGTATCGGGTTAGCTACAAGCAGTAGCAATAAGTAGGAACGATTCTCTAAATCACGTGCGCACTAAGGCAAACCCAACCAACAAAAGCGGGCCAAAGCTACCAGCGTCTTCATATGACTCGACCGTAAGCGCGCCGCATAGGCGGCTACCGAACGAATTATGCCTAACGCTAAAAATAATCAACATACAGTAGTTTGGCGGCTAACATGGCCTTATTTTAGCTGCGAATACAAGCGTAATTAGGATACTGACCTCTGTGACCGGTTATCCGTAAACCGATGCCCCAAGTCCCAGAGGCGTCGACTTACTCAATTGAATCGCATGAGATACACATAGGTACTAAATTGGCAGCTATTTCCTACGTGCATCATAACAGAGATGCACCAAAGAACCCATACAGCTTTCAAGGTTCGAAGATATTTTCACGAAGAACACACCTTCCTTAGCACCCTAGCCAATATGCAGGCCCCATATATCTATGCAACCGCATACATATGTCTTCTCGGTCTTGTCGTTATTTGGCGACTTTTCCGATTTCTAACAGCCCGAGCACGTGACCATGTCTTTTCTATTCTCTCTAAATGGCTTCTATACACAGTCATACTAGCAAGAGTTAATAGTAGTTCAGACATCACAATCATTGCGGGTATTGTAGTCATTTGTATGCTGGTCGGAAACATCGCTAGCGCACTTATTGCTGTAGCGTCTCAAGCCGACTTCTCTGCGCGCCTTGCTCGGCTATGCATAACGAATCTCGTTATTCTTTTTCTTGGTGGAAGAACGAACTTCGTCGCTGATAGAATTCTTAAGTTATCACACAATCAGTATTACCTTGTCCATCGTTGGGTGGGACGTATTTGCGTTCTAGAAGGCCTAATACATGGGGTCCTGAGCGTTTTGCAGCGTCGGAAGCCATTGCGTGCAATTGATATCACAGTAGGTCTGTTCGTATCGAATCTTGACCCCGTCCATGCTCATTTTGCTAGTTAATCTCACTTACTGGGACGATTGCAGTGTGCTCCTTCGTTTACATTCGGCGCAGGGTATATGAGTTGTTCCTCCAACTACATACAATAGCATCAGTAGCTCTCCTCATCTTCCTCTGGCTACATCTGACTAGGCCCAGTCCATACGTGGTTGCTTGCATCTCTAGTGCAGCGTCTTTTTTTGTGCTCCAAAAGGTATTGTGGGTAATTCACTGCATCTACCGAAATGCTGGGTCAGGGCCCCGTTGCCAGGCTTCGATTACTCGCTTTCAATCAAATGGAAATCAAAACGAAGAGGTCTTTCAGGTTCGAGTCGATGTAAGACGACCCTGGCATGTCATCCCAGGGCAATTTATATATCTGTCTTTGCCACACTCTCGTGGTCTTGGTTTGGGCTTGCTTGAGTTCCATCCATTTATGGTTGCATGGGCGTTCCACGATGAAAAGAACCAGTTGGGATCGGTAGTACTTATTATTCAACGTCGTCAGGGTTTTACGCGCAAGCTAGGGTTTACCAGTACCACTACACCTGCAATTATCGATGGTCCGTACGGAGGCGTGGATTGTAAGGAGCTAGCCCGCTACGATAAGGTACTTCTCATGTCCAGCGGTGCAGGCATCGCGGCGCATCTGTACATGACTCGCTATCTACTCCTGGCTCATAACCAACAAACAGCACGTGTGAGAAGACTCACTGTTCTTTGGTTTCTTGAAACATCAGGTTACTATGAACCCACACTTGAAACTTTCTGCGTTACTTATACTGAGCAGATCAAATGAAGTGGGCGAAGGAATATCTTGACACCCTTAACGGTCTAGATCCTCGAAAGATTTTAACTATATACTTACTATACCCCAATGAAAGCGAAGGAACAGCAGAAGGCGAGTTTCCTAGCTCCAGAGTCCCTGAAGCGAGAATGTACCCCATATCTGGCTCTCTTGACATGGCCATGTTTATTGAGGGCGAATGGAGTGCTGAAGCAGGGAATATGCTAGTGACAGGTATGCTTTACGCGATGCAATGCTCGAACTTGTCTAACAACGGATAGTGTGCGGCACCCCCAAGTTCGAAATGCGCGCGAGGCAAGCCGTCAGAGCCAGTTCTCATCACATCCACTTTCGGACGAGTATCTACCTACCTGATGAGACATATATTAGTAAGATGTCAGTATCGCGGTACAGATGAGTGGAAGATTTCAACCTGCATCGATATCTGCAAATGTTTTACATAAGGAGGCGGGCTGTAGATCTAATAAGAATAAGAATAGTATAGCTATCTCAATTTGTTCTCTAGTTTCAGATTTCCTGTGGGCGATCTATGAATCCTAATATCCACGACAAAAGGGCACCGACTGGTAGATGCAATTTGCAAGCGATGTCCCCATACGAAAGAGTGCTCTGATGAACAGCCCAAAAGAACAGTATTCTCTCAATGTCCTTCTTCGAGTAGATTTGATGCAGAGGCTGGCTCCTCAGAACGGCATGGCTGTGATAGCATTCTTGATGCACTCTGCTCCAAAAAGTTTTGCCATGAGAACCAACTGTCGTGACGATCTGGATAGGATCTTTTTCGATGCCTGTTAAATTGCCCTCTATGCCTTTCTTCACCTCCTCCGCTATAGACGTACGCAAAGCTAGGTTGGTCCTAGAAAAGTTGATAATACTGTCTTTGAGGGCCTGAACCAACAGATACTCCCGGCGTTTTCGAAATACCTGGCGCGCCGAGGGTAGCACTGTTGGGCCATGCTGTTCGGACTCAGACTTCATCGTTTCCATGTAATCGGAAAATCTCGTAGGTGTAGGTAGGGTGCGGGTATGAGGAAACTGAAGGATTTGGGGATCCGATGTACTCTTTTTGCTCCTTCCTATCTTTAGGGTGTGGCTTCGCTGGTAAACTGATCCTGTTGTAGTCTCGGGATGATGAAGGGTGTTAGAAATGGACGTGGAAGGAGCTGATGAAGTCCCAGAGTGAGTTAAGACTTCTCCTCTCTGAGGATCTCGTTTTATCCAAGCTGGCGGCAGCGACTCCATTTTGGGCTGTTGTGACGACAGAGGTGATTTTGAGAGCGTCGTACTATTACCCGTGTATTCTGGTGTGGAGTGCACACCGAACTAGGCGTTCGCCACCAATGCTTCGTCAACATTAGCTAACCTCAGCAAGCATGAACCTTTGTACCTACTAGGTTTCTTCTTTCTCGCGGAGTTATTTGAGAGTCGTGAAACTATTGTGAATATGATAAGATAGTCGATTCACGAGCTGGTATAAATGCTGTGTATTCGTCTTAGAGATAAATTTGGATGTAAGCGGCGTAGCCTCGTCAAGGCGCTAAAAATGTATAGTATAGCGAACTCGTGGAGCCCGCTTCATGGCGGTATTGGCTGAAGATAGCGCTGCATGATACTGCAGATTAGCCGCCGGAAACCATAGCTATGATTCGACCAAAGTGGCGCTTAGGATATGTTTAAGTCTATACGCGCGTCTTAGCGGAGATATCCAGCAGGCATGACTAAAAACATGCAGATCATACGCATGGGATTGCCGATTTTATCGTAGTGGGGAACATGCCTCACGAATGAGATGTTCAACCCTGTTGTCCCACCGTGCTAGCGTATATCTCCATGTCAGAGTGTCATGCGTACAACCTACCGCATGGCAGATATCTATAATCCCATACGGGCTGGTCAACACTTCACCTTACGGCGCCAGTATTCTTACGAGTCATTCTTCATGATCCCATACGGGATGCTTAACCCGGCGGTACAATCGACCCTAGGGCGCAATGAGTCGTATAAGGCGCATTCCAGGATCCCATACGGGATACTTAACCCGGCGGTACAATTGACCCTAAGGCGCAATGAGTCGTATAAGGCGCATTCCAAGATCCCATACGGGATACTTAACCCGGCGGCACACCGGACCCTATGGTCTAATGAACCTTACGGGACCAACATCCGCACAAAGGCGCATCTCCGCATTTCAGGGTCCCGTACGGAATCATTGACCCTACGGCGTTATTGAACTTACGGAGCTAACATCCGTACATTTCTCTATCTTGATCCCATATGGGATAATTCGTCTTATGAAATACAGAATGAGATCTTCTACAGCTAAATTTACACAGTTATCTAAACTTTACAAGTTCTTTGACTTCACGCGTTGAGAGGATGGTAGTATCCTGTACGATGTAGATCATTAGGCGTTCCATGTGCACAGACCCAACAGAGCCATCCTGGTTGATTCGCTTCCGTGACTGAGCGCGCCTGTCATGTCGTACGACACGATTAACCGCCGGACGCGCGTTCATGCAACTGCGGGGCTTGTGTCTTACAAGGATTCTTATCCTTCGGGAATGCAGGAGATTTGTCATGGCATATAGAGATGTTACTAGCATGGATAGCAACTATCAATTTTGGCTACGTAGACCTACATGATACCGTCACCCTGCACTTCGCCTGATCTACCTATGAAGACGCTTAGCGTCTCGTTGGGGGTAAACTTGGTGTAGCAATGTCAGAACAGCTCGATAAGCCCTGGACACCTCCACCAAGACTTCACAATCCCACTCATCATCCCTGCCACATACCCTGCCGTCCTTGCTTAACCACATATTTCGGAGGATGTTTTTCTCTAACAGACGCCCTTTAATGCAGTTGTACGGTAATTTGTCATATAACATCGGTTCGCAGGCGTCGCATCGATCGACATGGCACTCCAACGTATTCATGTAGAAGTACTCCATTCGGGTTGGTTTTCGGGATATTGAGCGAACTACAGGTCTTGCAAAATGCACTTGTGGTGTGATCGGAACCTTGTTGATGCATGGATGATCATAGGAATAACGATGATCGTAGCTAGTTCGCCGATGATTATCACTAACAGGGTTGTTTCTGCATGGATATGGAGTAGAATTGTAACGTGCTGCAGCTACAGGTGGAATCGACCCGTGTCGTGGAGAGTAAGACATGTTTTACGAACTATTCAAGTACAACGTTACAATTTCGATGACTGCTCCACGCCTAGGTACTTATATAGACCTCGGCTATCTATGTGACCCATCTGTAACTGCTTTCAGTGTCCGCCTGTTTACGAACCAGGATTACTCGACGCGTTCCTGTGAACCGTTCTCAGTAGAGGCGGATGGCGCTAGCGATGAATCGAGGTGATCGTAAATGCGCTGGATCCACTCCGCCATCGCGTCTACATCCTTCCGGAGGCTGTCGGATGCAGCGATAGTCTCGGCCAATCGCCTTTGCTATTATCAGCCACGCGCCTAAATCCATGATCAGGAACCACTTACCCTTCTAGATACCGAGTTGTCATTTGATGCTCGGCCCACAGGATTTGGATTGAAAGCTCCAATGACTCCATGGTCGGCGCTGGAATCATGGGTTCGGTTATGGGCGTGTAGTCCATGGAAACGTCGTGGTTGATGTTCGTAGCCAGTTCAAAGTTGAAGTCCTGTGAAATGCACTGAGAGTCTGCTATAAGAGGAATGTCGAAGACGGGATTCTGATCGAAGAAGTAGCTATCGTCTTTTGTCGAGGAGCTGCCCTGCTTGTCAATGGAGTCAGGATGGAAAGGGTCGGTCATTGGATTGAACGTGAAGAGAGCAGGTTCTGGCTCTGTTTGGGTAGAGCTGTTCGCGACGGGCATGACTGGAGCCGAGAATGGGTCTGTTGGAAGAGCAATCTCGTTCTGATAGTTTCTCGACGGTTCGTTGTTTGCTTGAGCCATCTTAGTCGCGATCTGAACGAGGATAACACTTTAATCTGGCTCAAAAGATACCCAAGCATGGACTTTTAAAGCCGGTCACGCTTGCTGTGCCGCACTGCCAAGTCGAATGGATTCTAATAAGATTTTGAAAACTATCTAACGCAATTCTACGACTTCGCCACACTTGGGCGCCAAAGTGATAAGCATTCCAGCGGCACAAGTTCAAGGAACGGGATCAGGCTACTAAAATCGGGATTTCGTACAATGTACCGATGCTGTTCTTCATTAGCTCGAGTCAAGGATATCGATAATTATAACTACTGACAGGCTTCTCAAGCTTAGCGAGTGCGGGTACCCCTTCGTTAAACATGCTATCTAGAAAGTCCACAAGAAGTTTGTAGCCACTCCATTCCTCTCCTTTGCTAAGACCAAACATCTTGTTCGTGTCTCTTTTTCGGCGGATCATAGAAGGATCTCGCAGGTTCTCGTTCGGGAGTCCATTCATACACTCAAGAATTGTTATGCCAAGTTGCTCAAGATCCGCATTTGGCGTAAGCTCAGTGCTTACCCAGGCACAGTTCTCGAAATCTGCTAAACCCGTATTAAGCCCGAGAAATAACTAAAATGGTGTCCTTACATAGTTGTGGCTTTCCACTCCTTCCGCAGAGACGTATCGTGCTGATTGAGACAGAATTGTGGACGATACCGGCCTTCGCGATATGCTGTATGGCAAGAAATACCTATATCGTCAGCTTTGCAGTCAGGATTAATACAGCGACTTACTGCGCTTGCTATCACTTGTATGTGGGGCTCTTTGAGAAAGGTGTGAACATTTAGAACCTCTTCAAGAGTAAAGCGGGTGTAGTCATATTGAAACAGCAGGGATGTCCTTGATTCAAAGACCCGCTTGATAGTTGCTACGTGTGGATGATCAGATATCGTTTTTACTTTCTCTAATTCCGTCTTGCCAGTATCAGGATTAAGTTCTTTGATAATCACCAGGTGTCCTCCTTGAAGGCATAACGATAGCTTTTGTTTTCCCTGTGTTAGATCCCCCAAATGCGATAAAGTCTCCCACGGGTTATGTAAAACACTAGCAGCTGGCTGTTTTGCCTTTTTCAAGGATCGTTCCATGAGCGCCACTGCAGTAGGCACTTGAGGCCGCGGTAGGCGTTGAAATGCCTCTCCTATAGAATTTGAAGCCATATCGAAGTTGTGATCCTAGTTTTGATCACAATTTTAGGAGCACGGGGGAGCGTAGATAGCCTTAACCCACGCATGGGCATGATCTCAGACATACTTATTTGTTCAACTGTGGTTACCCGGATTTCGTTAGCAGGAAACGGTGTTGGTATCATGGATCCTGGAACTGGTTAGATAACCAGAAACGGGTAACGGTTACTGTTTTCTCACTTGGAAGCGAGAATATAAAGCTTGAACCAGCAGCGCATGCCAAATCAATGCAGCTCACAACCTTAACACCACTGAAAAGCTACTACAAACCTCTTTGATTCATTATTCACTACACACCGCGACTATCATGGAGATAGACATGGCTGGAACAGCTGTCCCCGTGGACTGGCCAACTCTCTTACGGCGACAGCAAGGAGAAGTGCAAGGAGCTTCCAACAGTGAGCATCCTCGCAACTCTTCCTGGCCTATCTCATCAGCAAGCTCCATCCGCAACTGCGGAACAGGTACGCAACCTGATCTGTACCTCCAGCTTTCGCATATACTTGAATGGGAAATCTGGAATCACAATCAGACGCGTGACCATCTAGCTACAGAACGTGATAAAGTTAGCGAGTTAAATTCGCTGGTATGGAAGCTCTCACAGGATATAGATCAGTGGCGGAGTGCATGCCAGCAAGGGTATGCGGCACTAGACCAGCACAGAACTGAAAATGCCGAACTAAAGCGCGCACTAGCAGAAGCAAGGGTACGTGGGGCAGCTGCGCGCTTAAATCCAGCTAATGACGGCCTAGTCCACGTCAACTGAACAGGGCAGTGAAAACGCCCCGCTTGGCACTCCAGACATGACAACCCTGCCGCCAAGGCACAGTTTCCGAAAGCTTGCACCAATGCCGAAGGTTGATACGAACGAACATTCCTGGCGGCTCGGCTTTATCAAAGATGTCGAGGATCATAGCATTGCCAGTTCTGTAGAGTAGTCACCTGAGTTTTCGGAGAGAAATTGGCACATTAAATGGATTGCATGTAATAGATACAAGCTATCATAGTAGAGAATTTTCACGGAGTCATTCAGTCATGGGTAACTTTGCGTGACATAAACCATGCACCTCAACATACAGAGGAAGTAGCTATGAAGAGTGAGTATTGCTAAGGTAAACGATCACCCTAGGTGTCCGTGTGCTACAGGTTCCCCGTTGCACCCCCAGGTCGATAATCTCCGTCATTCTCGTCGTCGTCATTTGCCGGCTGCTCTGTCATTAGCATTGTCACCTCTACTACTGTATACAATTCCTTCAGTGTAGCGTCTACATTGTCCAAAAATTTCTTTTGGTTTGAACTTTCCAATCGCATGCGAAGGCCAGGCAATATATGCCTAAATTTACGATGCAATTTGCCGACATCATATAAGAGTATGGTGCCTCCATTTTTCTGCACGTGTTTCTTTGCTCTGATCATCATCTTGTCGAACTTCTTGACTCTCTTGCTTTTGGCAAAGCATTTGAGTGCCTGCATTGACTTCCAGTACTTTTGGGCATTGATCCAAAGTTGTTGGATAGCCGTATAGTTCCTCCTCTCGAGACGTGCATCGGACCATTGGACCATACCATGTAGAACGCGTTGATGTCTGGATCGAGCGCGGCGTTGTGAACCTGGCCATGTGCGCCGATCTTTGGTAATATCTTCCATCTCATCGCTAGAGTCGTCGGAGTTGCTGGAGTCGTCTATAATGATCACTTCTCCGTTGTTTGTATCGGTGATAAGGGGTGTGTGAGACCGAGCAGCATGTTGTGAGCCTGACCATATGCTTTGGTCCCCGGCAGTGCCTTCCATCTCATCGCTAGAGTCGTTGGATTTGCTGGAGTTATCCAAAACAAGTACTTCTATGTTTTTTGTATGAGTCGTGATGGATACGCTATCGTTTGACCACTCAGCCCTCTCAGTATCATTTGGGACAACTTCCAGAGTGTCATGATTGGATGGACTGCGATGGTTCTGGAGCAGTGGACTACTTCTCATCTCTCCCAAAACGTCGGTGGCATCATGAGGGACGACAGCCCGCTCTTGGTACCCTAATAACGTCTCTTTCGGATCGATGTTGGAAAAGTATCCTGTTTGGTGCATTTCAGCAACCTCCGTTGCGTAGAAAAGTTCATCGATATTTTGATGTCGGGATGGATCACTTGCGAGCACCAAGTCTTCGTCCAGATGATTGTTTCCGGTAGCCTCACTGAGCGCTGTCTCCTGTTCAAGTGCCCAAGTAGCTTCATTCCAGTGGGTGAAGGCTTCCATAAAATCTGCTGGATGACTTTGAGTATTGAAAATAGAGGCATTTGAACTTGTGTACTCACCATCATGCAGCTCCTGCCCTGTAGAAATATCCACGGCTGAATCTGTGACGTGATGAATTGAACAAGGAATTGCTGCACGTGCATTTGCATGCACTGCGCCCTGATGCTTGTCGATTCTTCCGGGTGATAGACGCGCACCCTCCTTTTCCGCCGTTGAGGACAGCAGGTGGCCTTCAGGTGAGCAGAACAAGACGTCTTGCTTCTCGATCGTTGGTGCCGTTGGCAGCTGAGTGTGGCCTCCGCAAATCATAAGTAATGTAGTAGCAGCATCAGCCATCTACTGTATTCAGCTAATGAAACCCACAAAAGCAGTAGTAGAGAGTACATACTTCGTCTGATGGATCTCTGTTACTTTTAGTTCGGCTCCAAGGTTGACCTCGAGCTTCAAGAGATTCCGACATGTTCGATTTCTGTGTTGAAAGAGATACGGTGATGAGAGATTACTGGAGATTGTTGAGAGTAATGAGGATGGTGGTGCGGGTACTTTACTTGGGGAGAGCCGATAATTTATACGATGGAAGAAACAGTGATGAAACTGCAACGGCCATTCTAGCTATATATAGTCGATTGAATGCATGATAGTTTTCTTGTATTGGGTCTAGCACTATCTGTACATATCGTGTAGTCGCCCGGTTGACCCTGACATTCACCAATGGCAAGTTCCGCCTAACGCCTTTCCCTTGCATGGAGAGGCTATGGCTTTCCACGGCTCATACCCTATCACTTCGTTGAAATCTCAAAATAAACTCATTGGGAAGACGGAATGAGGTTAGTATTGAGGAATTGCATGAAGAGCTTGCCGCTGTCGGTGTGATATAACCTATGAGACTACATTCTTCAGCCCCCAAGAGCGCCGATGAGCGAACACCCCCGCTTTGCATAAACCAAGTGACGCAGCTGGCACTGTTCGTCCTGTCGGAATGCTCGGATTTATCAAGAAGACTCAGTAGGTGGGTATTGCGGCAACATAGCAAGGCAGACACAGTACTCCCGCATCAGACTGATTTCACTTGGGGCTAGCCTCAACACTTTCTGGCACTCAACCATTTCTACGTTCGAAAGCTGGACTTACTATTCGCTGGAAGCATGTCCACGAGGCATACATCGTATCAACCTTCATGCTTATCCGCGCGGGCAATAGATTGCCATGCTCAAAGTGTCTTAGTATGGCTGATCCCCAGTTCTCTATATAAGGTGTGCTTTCTTCATCTGGACCCAAAGTATATGTTTCTTTCAAGAGATCTTTCTAACATAATGTTTAAGCCAGATCTCGAGGATTATATCACTCCTTCCCATGATATGTGCGTCGTTCAGGAAGATCTATCTTTTTCGTGTGCTGACTGCGATGCAGGGACAAAACGTTGATTCTTACCTTTGAATGGGATGACGAAAACAATTGTGCATTCATACACGATTTACAGCCCCTGGACACCTCGAGCACTATAGATACCTCCCGGAAAGGCCATTCAACTCTCCTTCCAGCCCCATCTCTCACATCACTATCTAAAATGTCGGAGAGCGCTCGACCCTGTCTAGAGCAATCAAAGTCCCGAGTTTCACGAGTTTCGCCTTTTCAATTGAGTTGGCTTCAAGACGATGGGATAGCTGACACACGTGTTTTGGTATCCTGCTCTGGACTTGTTCTTAACACAGATGGTATCCAATTCCAAATGTGCTTCCAGCCACAAAATCTCTCTGCACACAACGTCTTGAGTTTAGTTGCAAAGGTTGGCAAGGACCCGGGAGATGTGATACAATCACTGAATGGGAGAGGTGCCTTGGAAGACTTCAATCACGAGATACGTTATGCGTTACGTTCTGGAAATAGTTTGGTCGTGTGCTGGAAGGATGAAACGATGTCCTTTGAGGAGATTTTCGAGCGAGAAGCAGGTTGGCTCGTACTCGACTACCTGCTATCACTAACACGCATATCATTTCTTATACTTTTCTTCTTGTATTTATTTGGGTTACTCTTCTTTTCTTTAGGTATCATGGTTTTGTAAATTACATCCTCAGCTACCCAAAGGACTAGTACTACACGTTGCTTTCGCGTTGAGATCGCACTTTGATGAGATATCCCTTCATTTTCTTCGCACTTTTACATAGCCAGAATATAAGAAATCCAATCACGATTATTAGAATAATACTAACAACGCCTATCAAGACTGGCCCTTGGAACTGTTTTTGATGTACACTCTTCGGAGACGATGCCGGCACCTTTGGCGAGATCTTGCCACCGATTTTCATCCTCTATTTTCTCTTGTTATCAAACTAGACTTTATGTTTATCTCGGCTTATACGAACTATATATAGTTATGGATTATATTGAATTAATTCAACAAAGAATAGGTAAAGGGTAGAGTAGGTGCTAGTGCTTTACTAACGAGTTAGCTACTTCACATCAAAGATTAGCATTGGAGTTTAAGTTCCTGGTACAATATACCTTTGTTGATTTAGACGTTCTTCTCTCTTAATGCAGACGTGTTTGGTTAGTTGTGAGGTCGCGTGGACCAAGAAGCAGTGAGCCAGTGGATCTTATAGTGCTTTTCAACTCAGAACGGATTTAGGAAGATAGTTTTGGGACCTGAATCTGGGCTTCGTAGCTTACAAGATAATGCTACGAACTGAACCAGAGTTCACAGCCTATTGCAATTGGTGTCCCTAGCTTATAATCTAGCGTACTAAAATCACGTATAGATATAGTTATAAATGTACTATCCCTCCATGTGTGGCGGAAAACCCTGCGTGGCGGCATGCCAGCAATGCTCCCACCTTGACAAACGCAACCACAGTTGATGAGCGTACAGAATCTCGGGATAGGAACCTTAGTCCTAGAGCTCTCTCTACACTTCATCTCGTGCCGATTGAGTTCCTGCTTAACTAGCAATACCACAATGTGTCGCCAGCACTCACGGCAACCCCTCCTTGGTCAGCCTTGGACGCGCTAAAGGTTTAATGTATGCATCTAAGAATTTGTTAAGTTATATAAAGATACATAGAGAGTTTATACCGAGCGAGATGCTACCGTATTCTACGTCGTGGTGCTATTGCGCACGTCTATTGCTCTACAGAGCAGGAGTGACAACTAAGGCGCAGGCCGTACAGAAATGCCACAAGTGGCTTAGCGGTATTATACTAGCGCTAATACCTAGCCCTTGTCACGCGAGCGTCATCTTAATGGAGCCACCTAACTAGCGGCTAAGGCTAAATATGACTCGCTTGTGCTTGAATACATATTTAAACGCCGAGACTCCGCGCATGCCTATTTTAGGAGAAGAGAGTACAGGTAAATGCTTATGTATAATTAGTTCTGTAGTAGCGTCGGAATTAGCTTAGAGTAGTTAGTATAGATAGAACGTCTATCCACTTGTAACAGAATGACTACGTCCTACTAGAAGCTAAGAAGCGCTACATGCCCAGAATGAGACCCTAGACACACTGTGTGCCTATACACTGCCGCGACGCAGTCCCGATACTGAGGAGGAAGCCATAGAAACCGCCGGGTTTGACGCAACACCCATTCGTCTTTTACTGTAGCATATGGCAGTTCTTGGGCTGGAAGGACGGATGCAACAGCAATGAGATCTAATAGTAGGGGGATGTCCCCATTGTCAGTGTGGAGAGTCCGGCCATCTCGCGAAAATGCGATGTGAAAGATAGGTGAAGGCTGATTTTCCAGCACGGTGCGACAGTGGCCCGTCGCTGTCTCCCACACCCGCACTGT